AGTTACTTCACTCAGGATGATTTTTTTCTGGTTTTAGCCATTTGCCTGCAAATTTCATGAGGTCATTGTTTTTTTACAGCTAAGTAATACTCTATTGTGTAAATGTACCACATTTTCTTCATCCATTCTTCAATTGAGGGGCATCTAGGTTGTTACCAGGTTCTGTTTATTATGAATAAAGCTGCTATGAACATAGTTGAGCAAGTGTCCTTATGGTATAATTGAGCATCCTTTGGGTATATGCCCAAGAGTGGTATCACTGGGTCTTGAGGTAGATTGATTCCCAATTTTCTGAGAATTCACCATACTCATTTCCAAAGTGGCTGTACAAGTTTGCATTCCCACCCTCTGTCAGATGTGGGGTTGATGAAAATCTTTTCCCATTCTGTAGGCTGTTGTTTTGTCTTATTTACTGTGTCCTTTGCCTTACAGAAGCTTTTTAGTTTCGGGAGGTCCCATTTATTGATTGTTGCTCTCAATGTCTGTGCTACTGGTGTTATATTTAGGAAATGGTCTCCTGTACCAACGCATTAAGGGCTACTTCCCACTTTCTTTTCTATCAGGTTCATTGTAACTGGATTTATGTTGAGGTCTTTGATCCACTTGGACTTGAGTATTGTGTGATATATATGGATATATTCGACATCCAGTTATGCCAGCACCATTTGTTGAAGATGCTTTTTTCTTTTCCACTTACAGTTTTGGCTTCTTTTTAAAAAATCAGGTGTTCATAGGTGTGTGGATTAGTGTCAGGGTCTTCAATGCTATTTTTATTACTATAGCTTTAGTAGAGCTTGAAGTCAGGGATGGTGATGCCTTTAGAAGTTCATTTATTGTACAGCATTGTTTTGGCTATCCTGGGTTTTTTTTTTTTTCCCTATGAAGTTGAGTATTGTTCTTTCAAGGTCTGTGAAGAATTGTGTTGGGATTTTGATGGGGATTGCATTGAATCTGTAGATTGATTTTGTTAAGATTGACATTTTTATTATGTTGATCCTACCTATCCAAGAGCGTAGAAGATTGAATTCCATATTTTCTATCTCATCTAATTTGTTCTCCTTTGGGATCATTACTGTACCATTGGTGCTTGGTTGGGGCACATTGTCTTCTTATTCTTTTTTGTATTGGGTGTATTTTTCCAACAAGTCTTGAGTATCCAGAGTTAGTTTGTTGGTTGTGAGTTTTGTTATGTATTTTTAGCTTACCAAACCTGGTACCTGTAGGTGATCAGGGGGCTAGACCACTTGGGAGGAGAATGGAGGGTAGGAGGTGGATAGAGAAGAGGAGGCTGTCTTACCAGTCTACTCCACAATGGGCTGCTTGTGGCCAGTAGACTGGAGCAGGCTTACCAGGCTAGGGAGGGATCATGGGCATTGAAGATGAAGGGAGTACCTTGCCTGTTCCCTAATTAGCAGGTCTGGCCAAGACATATTTTAATCTGTTGTGAAAAGGCCACTCACAGATTTTCAGTGCAAAATGATGAAAAGAAATCTGTGTGGATCACAGCTTTATTCCTGGAGAGAAGTACATCTCCCTTTTGTTTTTGAGACAGAATTCGACTATGTTACTGTTGTTGGTTGTTTTTACTCTTTTGAGGGGCCTGCCACCTAGCTCCCAAATAAGTCACATGCAGGGGCTTATTCTTAATTATGAATGCTTGGCCTTAGCTTGGCTTGTTTCTTGTCAGCTTTTCTTAACTTAAATTATCCCATCTATCTTTGGCCTTGGGGCTTTTATCTTTCTCTATTCCTGTGTACCTTTTCTTTCCTTCTTAGTCTGTGTCTGGATGTGTAGCTGGGTGGCTGGGTGGCTGGCCCCTGAAGTCTTCCTCTTCCCTCCTTCCTTCTTCTTTTCTCCTTCCAGATTTCTCCTTCTATTAATTCTCACTGCCTGTCAGCCTTGCCTATCCTTTCTCTTGCTTCACCATTGGCCATACAGCTTTTTATTAGACCATCAGGTGTTTTAGACAGGCACAGTAACACAGCTTCACAGAGTTAAACAAATGCAACATAAACAAAAGTAATACACTTTAAAACAATATTCCCCAATGTTTCCCCCCATTTCTTCTATACAAAAATTAAAGGTTTTAACTTTGACATAGTAATACTGTATACAATAAGAACAATTATCAAGTAGAGATTACATTCACAATGTACTGAATTCCAATTTATTTGTATCTGATCAATTTAAAGAAAATACTCCATAATCTATCCTATCTTAGTAAATTCAAATTTTTATACCTAATTTACTTTCTATCATATCTAAAGAAAACTGCAGCTATAACTGTCTAGTCTTCAACTGCATCAAAGGCCCCAGAAGGGTATAATATTATTTAAGCAAAAAGTGCATTGCAAAGAATTTCCAAAAACTCTAGAAATGACAGAGATATTTGACTGCCTGGACAGTCACCCAAAGTTCCTCTGTAATGTTGGGGCATCTAGCATCAGCCTATGGGCCCAGAATATCTGGCAAACTTTTCAGACAATCAGGAAATTTGAAGGACTGTCCTGCCTTGTATAGGCAAAGTTCATCAGTCGGTTTCCTCTTTGTCCTGCAGAATATCTGGCAGTTTCTTCTGTGAAGCAGGAACCTTGAAGGACTATCCTGTATTGTTTTTGCAAAGTTCAGTGGTTACTTTACTGTGGGTCCTGCAAAGCTTATACAATATACAGTCAGGCAGTCCAGGCAAAAGCAGTTTCTTTGCCCAGTGACTAACCTTGCCACAATGAAATCAGTTTCATTCAATGCCCATCATCTCTGAAGTAAATTGGTACTTCCAGGAGCAGATGTGTCTCACTGTCATGAAAACCTTTAGGTTAACAAAATATTGTAAATGCCATATCCTGTAGATCTTTGAAGTGTTTGAAAATCATTTATCTATCTAAATATATCTATTTAGCCTTGAGAACAAACCTAATGTGACTACAAGTTTCATTATTATAGATTAACTACTAACCTCATTTTTAGTTATATATTGCATTTTTAAAATGAGCTACATAAGCAAAATACTTCAAACAAGAGTAGAAACATATATACAGTATAGCAAAAGTAACTTCAAATTTGTATCAATACACCAAAATCCATGCCAATACACAATATCTGAGATTAATAGTTGTCTTTTTATCCTATATTCCTCTAACTATAACAAACATCTATAACCCACTAAATAACCAAAAGCCTCCCATACCTCTCTTGGGAATGTGGACATCATGTTCTCCAAACTGCTTCCTGCTCTATGTGGACAAAGTATCTTTAGGGTCTCTGAGGAAATTTTGAGATAATGGCCAAGTCCTGGAAAGGCCAGAAGTAACCTTTGCTGATAGATATCACCTGTCAAGTTTCAGAAGGTCTCCCTTGATCATACCTGATCCATATTAACCTGGCACAAATCCACAGCCTCTTGTTTCCTATGGAAATGAAAGCAAAACCTCTTCTCCAAAGCATTTTTTATTTCTCTTTGACAAATACATTTTTTGATGTTTTAAAGTTAAGGCATTCCTAAAGTATATAGGCTGGTTTATTTCAATCCCATGTCTCTTAGCAATTGTTGTTTGCTTATCAACATTCAAAACATTCAAAATCAACACAATAACATACAGGTTCCAGACTCCCTGTGTATTCCCCATCTCTATGTGGCTTATTCTTTTTCGTTATTTTCTTCTCTCTTCAAAGACGTTATTACTTTGACTGCACAAGCAAACTTTAGATTGCTAAGCTACACCTGATCCTCCACACCACCCTCTTGTCTAGCTCTGCCCTCTTCTAGGTTCATGGGAGCCAAACCTAAAGCTTGTGGCCCCATTAGAGGTTTGTTTGATCTGGAACTGCATTCAACCCTCCTAGTTGTAGGAAACCACAAGCAAGTGGGGTGTTTTGTTTTGTTTTGTTTTTTACTTAGCTTGCTGTTTCTATTCAATGCTCCCTGCTGAACAGCAGTGCCTCTTAAGGAGTGGTATCTTTTTTGCCCCAGCTTTCTCAGGCCCTACCTAGGTAGATATATGCCCAAAATATGTTGGTTGTTTTCACTCTTTTGAGGGGCCTACCAACCAGCTCCCAAATAAATCACACACAGAATCTTATTCTTAATTATAAATGCTTGGCCTTAGCTTGGCTTGCTTCTTGCCAGCTTTTCTTAACTTAAATTATCCCATCTATCTTTGGCCTTGGGGCTTTTATCTTTCTCTATTCCTGTGTACCTTTTCTTTCCTTCTTAGTCTGTGTCTGAAGTATAGCTGGGTGGCTGGGTGGCTGGCCCCTGAAGTCTTTCTTCCTCTTTCCTCTCTCCTTCCTTCTTCTCTCCTCCCAGATTTCTCTCATTAATTCTCACTGCCTGTCAGCCTTGCCTATCCTTTCTCTTGCCTTACCATTGGCCATGCAGCTTTTTATTAGACCATCAGGTGTTTTAGACAGGTACAGTAACACAGCTTCACAGAGTTAAACAAATGCAACATAAACAAAAGTAATACACTTTAAAATAATATTCCCCAACATCTTAGCCAGCTGGCCCCAACATCCTAAATTCAAGAGATGCTCTTCTATCAGCTTTCTAAGTACATGGGACTACAGGTATACAATTGCATACCTTCTCTTTTCCTTTGATTAAAAAAATTATTTTAATTTTATTACATTTATCTATTTATTTATTGTGTTCTCTCTCTCTCTCTCTCTCTCTCTCTCTCTCTCTCTCTCTCTCTCTCTCTGTGATTGTATGTGTATGTGTGCATGCACATATGCACCATGGCACCCGTGGAGGTCAGAGGACAACTTGTTGGGGTCAATTTTCTCATTCCACCATGTTTCAGTCGCACGGATCAAATTCAGGTCTTCAGGTTTAGCAGCCTTTACCCACTAAATCATCTTACTGGACCTATGTTTCCTTTCTATACAATGGAGATCCACCCCAGCAATTCTAAAGACAATATGGCATTAGTGCCCAGAGAGATATCAGCCAGTCTTGCTTGAAAAAAACTTTGTCAAGTAATTTCTCTTGTCTTTCTTAGTGCAACGAAAACTCAAAGAACAAGAAGAATTGGCTATAGAACAAGAACGTATAAATGAAGGCCTGAAAGAACTTAACTGTGAAGAGAGGGAGAGTTTTGCCAGGTATGATCTTGTTCTCTTTATTCCTATTTCTTATGTAGAAAAAATGTATCTTTAACATAAGGATAATGCACTATTAATCCATACATATTGATAGTATTTTATATTAATGCTGTACTTGTACATCTAGAGCCAACCTTCCTCCCTCCCTCCCTCCCTCCCTCCCTCCCTCCCTCCCTTCCTTCCTTCCTTTCCATTTTGGGATTATGGTAGTTTGTACATAGCTATGTTCATCCTGTCTTTACATCCTTACCCTATATCAGAAGTTCTCTCTCTCTCTCTCTCTCTCCCTCCCTCCCTCCCTCCCTCCCTCCCTTCCTTCCTTCCTTTGTTTCTTTCTTTTTTTCTTTGGTTTTGGTTTTTTCAAGGCAGTGTTTCTCTATGTAGCTCTGGCTGTCCTGGAACTCACTTTGTAGACTAGGCTATCCTTGAACTCACAGATATCCTCCTGTCTCTGCCTCCTGAGTGCTGTAATTAAAGGTATGCACCACTACCTGGTCAGTTCTTTTTCTTTTTAAAGAGATTTTTCCCCCTCACAGTTTCAGAGTTTCAGTGAGTTATCGCTATCACTTTGGGCCTATGACAGTGCAGAAATCTAAACACCTCATGGCTGGGATGTAAGAAACAGGAAGAGGAAGGAGCTGAGATCCCAATATTTCCACCAAGGTCAAGATTACAGTGACCAGAGGACTTCCCAGGTGGTTCTACTTAAAAGTGATTGCTACCAGGCTAGGGAACTGGGCAGGTGGCTCAGTGGATGAAGTCCTTGCTACAGAAGCTTGAGGACTGGACCAGATCACAAGAACCCACATAAAAACTGGAAGCACTAAGACACAAAGACAGGAGATCCCTGGGGCGAGCTGGCTAGCTAGACTAGCCAGATTGGTGAGTTCTGAGTTCAACAAGTGACCCTGCCTCAATAAATAATATGGAGAGTGATTGAGGAAGACCCTTGGCATAGACCAGAGTAGCCTAATAGCCAGATTAGCAGGAATGGCTCACATGCACAGTGCTCTTTGTATGTGTCCCCAAGACTATGTGTTTATGTGTTCTGATGCTTTTGGAAACTCCACTGTCCTCCTGTGACAGTCTTCTCTGGGATGAGTGTGCTTCCTTATGATTATCCAGTCAGGCTCAGGGGGAAAAGCAGGCCACCGTCTCCTTGAAGCTTTCCTCACTGTCTTCCCATGGGGTGCAGTAGAAGAAGAGGGCCTGTATCCTCTGATTCAGTCATCCTCTCTGCCCTGGGGAGTGGGGTTCTGTCCATTCTCTCATACCTGGTGCATATAAATATGTTCTTTTTTTTCCCTAGAAGAGTATGATTTTGTATCTAAGCCTTTTGCCACTTTGATAAAAATAGTATGTAGCCTACCCTGTTTACTTCAAATTACTGTTTCTGCTCTAAAGGGTGGCATGCATAGGAAATCAGAGGGCAAATTGTTGGAGTCAGTTTTAACCTTCTACCTTATGAATCGTAGGGGTCAAACTCAAGTCATCAGATTGGGTGGCAAGCTCCTTTACCTTGGCAGTCCCTCCTTCCGATTTCCTACTTCCTACTTTATTGTTGGAGATTTGAAAACATCTTCCATTAGCACCCCTTCCCACCCAACATCAAGTCAACTGGGGCATAAGAAAAGAGTGTGAGCTGGAAGCATTGTAGATTCCTATTGCTGCCTGAAAACATTCAAAATTTGTAGTTTAAATCAATTTATTTTCTCTTATTCTGCAAGTTGGCAAAGCTCAATTCAGTGGTTCTTACTTAGGATGGCTCATGTAGCTCAGATGTAAATTGAGGCTGAGTACATTTGGAAGCTTGACTGGGGTAGACCTGAAGACACCACTCCTCACTGGCAGTGTGCCTCACTGTGGTTATGAATCTCACCTGGGTTAGCAGCTAGAGGCTGGGGTAGACTTAAAGACACCACTCATCACTATAGTCGGGGATCCCACCTGTGTTAGCAGCTAGACACTGAGGTAGACCTAAAGACACCACTCATCACTGGCAGTGTGTCTCACTGTAGTTGGGGATCTCACCTGTGTTAGCAGCTGTGAGGCCTGGAGTACTGATAGCAGAGCAACCTGTTCTGAAAGAGGGCATTTGCATAGCAAGTGTTATAAGGAACAGGAGTTTCCAGACCCAGACTAAGAGCAGGACCAGCAGAGCACCTCCTTTGCCTAATGCCATGGGTCACACAGACACATACAGGGTTTGTGCAGATTCACAGCAATGGAGAAAGAAGCATCACCTCTGGTTAGAAAGGCATGTCAGAAGGGGAGTAGGATTAAAGTCCGTCTCAGAACACAGTCTTGGAAGACAGAATCTTCCACAGAGGGATATCTAAACAATTCTTTATTTCTTATGAAGGTTGGTAGCTTTTGTACTGACACCAATGACCAATTATCTGATTCTCTAGACACTGAATATCCAAAAGTTCAATTAAATTATGACATTAACTGTAGATAACACAGACCACACAGGATTAGGGGCTGTCCCACAAGACGTATTTTAAATATCAAGCCCAGCTCTCAGGCTTTTCTGGCCACCTATAAAAATCAGAGGCTTCTACTTCCTTTTCTCAAAATTCAAAGTTTCCTAGGCCTGCTCATAGAACTCAGAAACATATTTTACATATATTTACCTGCTCGTCACTAATGGAAGAGATACCTTACATTCTGTGGGGCTACCACCCTTCTCATTCCAGAAGCTCTTTAAGCATTATCCAAGAAACTTTTGTATGTTTTTATACAAAGTGTTCCTACATAGCCCAGGCTGAACTCAAACTCAACATGTAGCCCAAGCTGGTCACTACCTCATAGTTGAGTCTTAGCCTTCTGGGATTACAATGTGCACTACCACACCTGGCAAGTTCAAGCCTTTTTTTATTTTTTGTTTGTTTGCTTGAGGTTTTTTCTTTGTTTCCCTTTTTATTTTTGTTTGGCTTTGTTTTGTTTTGAGACAGTTTTGGTATATAGTCCTGGATAGTCTGGAGTTTCTATGTAGACAGGCCAGCTTCAAACCTGTGGAGGTTCTCCTGCCTCTGACTTCCAAGTGCTAGGAATATAGGTGGTAAGACTCAAAATTTTAACCTTTTTGTGTGTCTGTGATGTACATGTGTGTTCATGTGTGAGCGTGGGTATGAACAGACCATGGTGCACATGTTGAGGTCAGTTCTGCCCTTTTACCTTGTTTGGGCCAGTCTCTTGTTTGCTGCATACACCAGGTAGCTGACTTGTGAGCTTCAGGTAGAGTGTGTGTGTGTGTGTGTGTGTGTGTGTGTGTGTGTGTGTGTGTGTGTGTGTGTGTTTTGCATGCATGTGAAAGTATGTGTGCACATGTGCTTATGTTCATGTGTCAGTACTCGTGTATGTGGAGGCCAGAGTAGATTTGTCCTCTGTCCTCTGTAAGACAAAGTGCTAAACAGCCTTATTAATAAAAAACCCAGAGCCAATATTGGGATTAAAACCGAGAGATCAGAAAAGCAGAAAGAAGCCAGCCATGTTCTTACCACTTAGATACTGTCAGCCAAAGAGACCTACTTCCTATATACCCATGCCTATGTGCCTTTCTGTTCTGCCATCTCATTTCATCTCTCTGTATAGCTACATCACTTCCTCTTCCTGACCACTATGTCACTTCCTGTCTATACAGACCTCCAGACCTTTATGGTTACTGCTGGAATTAAAGGTATGTACCACCATGCCTGGCTCTGTTCCCAACGTGGCCTTGAACTCACAGAGATCCGGACAGATCTCTGCCTTCCGAGTGATAGGATTAAAGGCATGTGCTACCATTACCTGACCTCTATGTTTACTATAGTGGCTGACTTTTTACTCTGATCCCCAGATAAACTTTATCAGGGTACACAGATAAAATATCACCACACTCCTCTATCTTTTTCTACTTTATTTTTTTTTTTAAGTAAAGTGTCTCACTAAGCCAGAGGCTAGCTGTTTTGACTAGGCTGACTGCAAGCATCTGTAACCATGCACAGAGTCTATGTGGGTACTGGGGAACTGAACTCAAGTTCTCATGCTTGCATGGCTGGTGCTCTTTTCCACCAAGGTACCTCCCATCTTGCCTGATTGTTACCGGATTTGGGGGCACAACCTTTGCCCCAACAATCTAGGTTTGGCCACTTAGTCTCTATGAGCCAATTTAAAAAGCCAAATTAATAGTTAAAAGCAGGAAAACAAATGGTTTATAGAATGTGACCACATTGGAAAAAGGGACACAGAGATCCAGTAACCCCTCAAGTCCATCTTCAGGGGTCCTGACATGAGGGTGAGGTTTAACCGAAGGGAAAGTCTCTCCTGAAAGTCTTCCCAACACGTTGTATGTCTCTCTGGGAGACTTATTTCTCCCTTGCTGCCCCTAGAGTTTCAGCCAAGAAGATATTCCTGGGCTGTTAGATTTTTGACCAAAGTGCAGAATAAAGAGACAAAGGCCAGAAAGAGACCAGAATCTGACCTCAGCAGATGAGCTGGGTTTATTAGCACACACATCGATGACAGCCTCTCTCCTAAGGGAATGCAGGGTCTGCCTGGAGGTGGGAGGGTTGGAGCTGGCTCAAAATCTTTACAGGGACAGGTGATGGACTTGGGGGTGAGGAAGTAGGAACTATAATGAAGTTATTTGCAGATTGCAATGGTCCCTTCTTCTTGGAACTGTTTGCTCAAGCAAGACAGACTAGCTAGGGAGCAAAGGCCAGCTGTGATTTCATAGAAATCCAATTTTGCCCATTTTTGCAACCTAGGCACTCTACTATGGTCAAACTCAAATTTCTTGGGTCCATTGTTTCAGTAGTCTGGTAACCAAGGAAGAGACACAGGCAAGCGACAATCAGAATGCTAGAATTACAGATGCATGCTACTGTGCCCAAGTTTTTGTGGGTTCTGGAGATATGAACTCAGGTCCCCATGATTGCATGGTAAACACTTTGCCCACTGAGCCATGTCCCTGGCCCTAGATTCAAGATTGGAAAAAAGAAGAAGAAAATATCCAA